GGGCCGGGGGCGGCGGAGGCAGCCCCGCCGCCGCAGCCCCGCGGCGCCCGGCCGGGCGGGCGGGACGATGCCGGTGATGAAGGGGCTGCTGGCGCCGCAGAACACCTTCCTGGACACCATCGCCACCCGCTTCGATGGCACACGTAGGGCTGGGACGGGACCGGGGAGGGGCCGGGGGGGGAAACCGGGTGGGGGAAGCGGCGGCCCGGTAGGAGACGGCGAACGGGACACGGCTCGGGCTGCCCCGCAGAGCCGGCAACTCGGCCGGGGCGGCCACCCAGGAGATGTACCGGGCCCGTCCCGTCCCGGGGCTCGGTGCTCGGGCACTCCCCGTGCCCGTGTCCCAGGCCGGCCCCGCGGTGCTCTCCCCGCTGCCGGTGCCGCTCGGTGCGGCCGGAGCCGCGCTCAGCACCAGGGACAGATCCCGGTGTCTGCGGGAAGGGCGCGGGGCCCCGGAGGGGCGAGGGCGGTTCGGGGAGGGCACAGTCAGTGTTCACACGCCCGGGCTGACCTGGGATCCCCAGCGGTGTCCCCGGGCGCCGAGCTGCTCTCCGTGCCCATGTGCCGGCATGGGTTGAATTCGGGACGGGTGGTACCCGGGTGCCACATGGCAGCTCTGGCACTGCTGGCACCATGAAGCCACCCGGGGACGGGCCACATTCACGACTGGCCTCAGCTTCCCCTCAAAACACCTGGAGCAGGTGTGTCCCGGGCCAGCTGCCTGCACGGCTGAGCATCTCCTCCCTTGCTGGGAGAGACTGGCATGGAGATGGCACCGGGAGCCTGCAGCCACCCTGCAGGGCACTATCGAGGCACTTGGAGCACTTTGCTGTGATATTGAGGTGCCTCCGAGCCTGGAGTGACACGGGGCAGCCCTGGAGGCACAGGGAAGCTGAAATCTGGGATGTCACCCTTGGAGCTGCAATGTGTGAAGAATCTCTGTTCTCTGACTCTGAGCTGGGCCTGGGGGTGACAGGGCAGAGCCACATGTGCCTCATGATGGTGATCCCACTGTCCCTCCAGAGGGGCAGAGCTCCTGGATCAGGCTCTTCAAGGGAAGAGTCCCCAGGGAAGCTGCCTGCAACACCAGGAGCAACACTTGGGAATTGCCCAGGAGAGCCTGGCTTTGCCTCCAGTGCCCTGGCATGCCCCTGTCCCAGGCTGCCCAAGCACCTCCAGCGGGCACTTTTAAGCAGTGCGGGGCTTTGCGGGTTTGATGTGCCTCTTATCGGCTTTATCTGCCATGGAGAGGGGTTTAGGGCAGTGATACTCCGTGGGGAGTTAACCCTGCCTCTCCCAGAGCAGAGGCTGCTCTGTGCCCAGGGCACCCAACCAGGCACCCTGGCCACCATGGCTGGGGTCTGCCAGCCTGCCAGGGCCACATCCTCCAGCTCAGCGAGCCACTCCCAAATGCAAACCCTTGTTTTCTGTTCTAATAACACATCCTGGATATCACCATAATCCCGGCTTCCCAGAGCCAAAATCTGGCCTTAGTCACAGCTTCAGGCTATTTTTGCTTCTCCGAGCTAATCCTGGGCTGAGCTGTGCTGTGGTGGCCCCACGGCACCTCCAGCAGCCAGGGCTGCCTGTGGTTGCCTCCCTGCCCTCCCGCAGCCTCTTGCAGTGTTTGCCTGGCACCACTCTACCCGTGGGGTGCTGGCATCACCCTGGGCTCCTTTCTTCTGCGAGAGGGGGCAGAGCACATCCACCTGATCCTGGCTGTGTGCTGCAAGGGTTGTGTGCTGGGCACCCACCAGCAGAGACTGTTTTGGGGCTGGGAACACCCTGGTCTGCCCACGCTGGGTTCCACCACAATCTGTGCCAGCTGCACCCCCACTTCCTTGGCACCCTGCTAACATGAGCCCCTCTATCCTGCCGTGGGGCAGGGCTGGGGGCAGAACAGCTCTTCTGTCACTGGGCAGGGCACAGGGCTGGCAAGGACTTTGCTGTGGCTGGCTGTAAAAGTGATTTTTTAATGTGTGTGGGTATGATGTTTGATTTTATTTTGCTCAGAAGGTTGATTTATTATGTTATATATTATATTAAAATATTACATTAAAACTATCCTAAAAGAACAGAGAGAGAAGAAGATTAGAAGGTTACAAAGATCAAGAATAGAAGAATGTATAACAAAATCCTGTGACTGCTCACAGCCTTGGTGCAGGTGGCTGTGATTGGTCACTAATTGAAAACAATTCACATGGACTAATGGAAGATGCACCTGTTGCATTCTACAGCAGCAGAGAGTTATTGTTTACATTTCTTTCCTGAGGCTCTCAGCTCCTCAGGACGGCAAAAATCCTAGCAGAGGATTTTTCATAAAATATCATGGCTACAGCTGGTGCCACCTCCCACCGCCAGGGCTGGGTGATGTGGTGCTGAGAGGCACCTCTCAGCTCTGTGCTGCTGAGAGGCCGAGGATGCTGCAGCTCATCCCTGGCCCCTGGCAGCCGGGTGCTGGCCCCCGATGGTTTTTCTCCCACCCTCTCAGCTGGTTTCTCAGCACCCCACACCTCTGGGGATCTCAGCACCACAGCTGGGCACCCCTGGGCTGGGCACGCCCAGCCGGGAGCTGCTGCTCCCACTAAGCTCCCTGAGCCCTGGCAGAGTGGCAGATGGTGAGGGGGAGGCGTGAGCTGCCTCGCGTGGGTGATGGGGGCTGGAGACGGATCCGGGCTCCTTCCCCTCCCTCTGCCTGGGGCTGGGGTCCTGCCTGGGCTGGGAGCAGCAGGACAGCGGATGATCAAGCTCTGGGAGCAGCTCGGGGCAGGCAGCAGCCACATGGAGATGTGGCTTCACTTGCCAGAGGGAAACATGGGGAGCCAGGAGGGCTGGGCTGCTGTTGGTCCCAAGGCCGCGGGGGCAGCTCTGTCTCCTTTCAGACAGCAACTTCATCCTGGCAAACGCTCAGGGTCGCTGTGGCTTCCCCATCGTCTACTGCTCCGACGGATTCTGCGACCTGACGGGCTTCGGCCGCAGCGAGGTGATGCAGAAGAACTGCAGCTGCCGCTTCCTCTGCGGGGCTGACACCAGCGAGCCCGTCCTGCAGAGCATCGAGAGGGCGCTGGACAGCAGGCAGGAGTACCAGACTGAGGTCTGCTTCTACAAGAAGGGTGGTGAGTGGCACAAGGGGCGGGGTGCTGGCCACGGCTCCAGCTGGGGTTTGGCCCTGGGAGCTGCCCTGCCTTCACCAACCCTCTCCTGCACCCAGGAGCTGCCTTCTGGTGCCTGCTGGACATCATGCCCATCAAGAACGAGAAGGGGGAGGTGGTGCTCTTCCTCTTCTCCTTCAAGGACATCACAGAGAGCCGAGGCAGGAGCCACCCTGGTGACAAGAAGGAGGGTGAGCTTGGGATGGGATTCAGGGAGCGGTGTGTGCAGTGGGCACCTGGCAAAGGGGCTCCCTGCTCCCTGGTACACCCATGGCACAGCACTCCCACTGACCCAGCCTGCCCTGTCCGCTGCAGAGAAGCAGAGGAGTGAGAAGCAGAGGAGCAAGAAGCCCGGGAGCTCTCACCTGAGGGCTGCACGGAGGCAGGGCCGGACCATGCTGCACCAGCTCAGCAGCCAGTTTGTCCGGAGGGACCGTGGAGAGATGAAAATCAACCGTGTAAGGACCTGGGGGACCCCAGTTTTGCCCAGTGCCGCCCATGCTGGGGCTGTGGTGAGCTGGCAGGGCAGCAGCTCTCCTGAGAGCAGCCCCCAGCAGAGCCCAGCCTCGCTGGGATGCTGTTCCCATGCGCGTCTCTCCCTGGCTTGCCAAGTACAGAAATGCCCCCCAGCTCTGGCAGCCACGCTGCACCCAGGCTGCACTTGTGTTTGGTTGGCAGCAGGAGAACCCAGTGGGTGCCCAGAGCTTGCTGTTGAGGCAGCAGACTGGCAGCTCTGGCAGGGCTGTGCCTCTCCTCGTGCACTCGCTGTCAGGAAACCCCAGTGCTGGCTCTGAGCATGGCCACGCTGGCTCTGGGGAGTGCTGTAACCAGGGTGCCAGAGCTGTGCAGCTGCCAGATGGGGCACAGTCCTGTGCCAGCCCCTTTGCACAGCTGCTGTGCCCAGTTCAGGGCACTCCCTGCAGTTGTAGGGCCAGAAGGAGGGTCTGAGAGCTGCTGGGTCCCAGAGCTGATGAGCGGGCAAAGGATATCAGTGCACCAGGCTTGAATTTTGGGGATTTGGGTGAGATAGCCCTGGCTCTGCTGCAGCATGTGAATTGGCACCTGAGATGGTTGCAGGCAGCAGTTGGCATTGCCAGGGGATTACTGTTAATAGCAATGACATTGCATTAATTGATGTGCTGTAATCAGGGGTTCTGTGCTCATCCCTGAGGGTGACCACAGTGCAGGAAAAGGGCATCATCACCCTGGCATCAGAGGGTGCCAGCTGGCTGGCAGGACTCAGGAGGAGGGGAGGCTGTGGTGGCCTTCACCCCTCGAGTGGGGTGTCCCCTGCACCACCCCTGTCCCACCCCACGCTTGCCCTGCAGAACGTGTTTGAGAACAAGCCGTCCATCCCCGAGTACAAGGTGGCCTCGGTACAGAAGTCCCGCTTCATCCTGCTGCACTACAGCATCTTCAAGGCTCTCTGGGACTGGCTGATCCTGCTGGCCACCTTCTACGTGGCTATCACCGTCCCCTACAACGTCTGCTTCACGGGCACAGAGGACAGCCTGTCAGCTGCCCGCAGCACCATCGTCAGCGACATCGCCGTGGAGATGCTCTTCATCCTGGGTAGGTCTGGGGCTCGCTGTGGCTGTGTTCGAGGGTCCCAGGATGAGGGAAGAGAATCTTGACTCCATGTTTCAGAAGGCTGATTTATTACGTTATGAATATTATATTATACTGTATTATATTATATCATATCATACTATATTATATTATATCATATTATACTATACTATACTATTATATTATATTTATCATATCACATCATATAATATTATAATTATATACTAAAATTATACTAAAAAGAATAGAGAGAAAGGATCCATCAAAAGGCTGGAAAGGAAGACAAAGGAATGGAATAATAACAAAAGCTCGTAACTCTCAGAGAGCCCGAGCCAGCTGGCTGTGATTGACCATTAATTAGAAACAAGAACATGGACCAATCAAAGATGCGCCTGTTGCATTCCACAATGCAGATAATTAGTGTTTTTCTTTTCCTCTGAGGCTTCTCAGCTTCTCAGAAGAAAAATCCTGGGTGAAGGGATTTTCATAAAAATATCACGGCGACAGCTCAGCACTGGTCCAGGATCCGGGACATGGTGGGGCAGGGATCGGGGTGATGGAGGGGGGAGTTGGGATTGCTGTGCCCCTGGGCACACCAGAAGTGACACCAGTGTTGGCTGTGGGTGCTGGCTCAGCTCTGCCAGCCCCAGAAGGGGTGCTGAGGGCTGCTCCTGCTCTCCTGGGCTAGACATCATCCTGAACTTCCGCACAACGTACGTGAGCCAGTCGGGCCAGGTCGTGTACGACCCTCGCTCCATCTGCATCCATTACGTGGCCACCTGGTTCTTCGTGGACCTGATTGCTGCTCTGCCCTTCGATCTGCTCTACATCTTCAACGTGACCGTGGTGAGTGCTGCTGGCACAAACACAGCCCTCCACAGCAACGCTGCTGCCCGCCTCCCTGCCCCTCTCCAACACCCACATCTCCTGGGGGTGCTGGCAGGGAACCCCGACAACCCACTGGTGCCCTGCCAAGCCACAACCCTGTCTGCCTGCTGGGTGCTGGGCACGGGGCTGCAAGGCTGATTTGGGATGAGCTGCCTCTGCCTTGCCCTGTAACCCATCACCCTCCTGGCAGCGTGGGGGTCACAACGGCTTCCTGCACCGGGGGCAGTGTCGGGGTCCCTTCTTGTCCCTGCCTGCAACCGCAGGGACCTGAACCAGGCTCACCCTCCTGCCTGCCCCCCAGACCTCGCTGGTTCACCTGCTGAAGACGGTGCGGCTGCTGCGGCTGCTGCGGCTGCTGCAGAAGCTGGACCGCTACTCGCAGTACAGCGCCATGGTGCTCACGCTGCTCATGTCCATGTTTGCCCTGCTGGCCCACTGGATGGCCTGCATCTGGTACGTCATCGGCCGCAAGGAGCTGGAGAGCAACGACCCCCGCACCTGGGACATCGGTGAGCGCGGGCTGGGGGCGCTTTGGAGCTCTGGTGTCCCCCCCGTGCTCTGGGGGTGCTGCCCTCTCAGCTGCCTCCTGCACTGCTAACCCCGGGCTGTGCTTGGCAGGCTGGCTGCACGAGCTGGGCAAGAGGCTGGAGGCTCCCTACATCAACAATTCGGTGGGGGGCCCCTCCATCCGCAGCGCCTACATCGCCTCCCTCTACTTCACCCTCAGCAGCCTGACCAGCGTGGGCTTCGGCAACGTCTGCGCCAACACGGACACCGAGAAGATCTTCTCCATCTGCACCATGCTCATTGGGGGTGAGGGGGCAGCGGGGCTGGGCAGGGCGCTCGCCTCGGGCTGCCGGAGCCTGGCGTGGCTGGCGTGGTGCTGGGGAGGTGATTTGTTCAAAAATGTGGATATCGGTCTAGTATTGATGTCCAACCGTGATGGACAAAAACTCTCTAACGGTTTAAAGTTAGAAAGTGTGTGTTTATTGTGATGCTGTGTGGGATAGCTCCCAAATGCACACCGCAGTTTACAGGTGATTACAGAGCCCTTTTATCCATACAAGTGTTGAATACCCAAAATACAAATCGTTGTGATACTGTGTGGGATAGCTCCCAAATGCACACCGCAGTTTACCGGTGATTACAGAGCCCTTTTATCCATACAAGTGTTGAATCCCCAAAATACAAATCCATATTCATAATTTTGGTACGTCCCATTCCCCGCTTCTTATGGTAACTAGTTCAAAAGCTATTAAGCATGTGTAGTTTGTTCCTTGAAATGGGTCGGGGGTCCCTTTCATGGGTCGGGGTCCCAAAATGAGGAAGTAAATGAAGTCTTCCTCATTCTCACCTTTCTACCTTTTCAATGCAAATATGATAAATGAACTCTTGGTAGAATTCTCATTCCCTGTCTTCAATTGCTTTCAGAACAGAGGAGGCTCACAATTGTCTTGTGTTCCTAAAAGCTATTTATCAGTTTCTATATTCTTCACTATAAACCCAGCTAACCAAACATTGTGTTGACAAGCAATCGATTATTAATTAGTTAACTACTAACTCTTAACTTCATCAAGGCCTACCCATTTATTTTAATTAACTCCAATAAAGCTTATCCCTAACTAAAATCTTAGCTCCTCTAAAATCTCTAAATTCCTCAAAGTTTATGTCTCAGAGGTGATGGGATTGTTACAAATGGATAAATAGATGATTGGCTCTTGCAATTAAAGGACAACTATTGTGTAACTATTAAGAAAAACTTTAGTGATGTATAGTTGTGTGTTGCAGTTTAGATGTCCTCTGTTCTCCACATAGTTCCTTTTCCTCCCCCTGTATTGTGACCATCAGACAGCTGGGGTTGTCTAGGACAAGCAAAAAATCTCTAAATTCCTCAAAGTTTATGTCTCAGAGGTGCTGGGATTGTTACAGATGGATAATGAGATGATTGGCTCTTGCAATTAAAGGACAACTATTGTGTGGATATTAAGAAAAGCTTTAGTGATGTATAGTTGTGTATACATATATATATACACACATATACATATACACATACACATATGTATGTGTGTATACATATATATGTATATAGTTGTGTGTGTGTATATATATATACACACACACACACATATATATATATATATAGTTGTAGTTTAGATGTCCTCTGTTCTCCCCATAGTTCCTTTTCCTCCCCCTGTTTTGTGACCATCAGACAGCTCGCATTGTCTAGGACAAGCAGAAAAGAATGAGTGCACGTGTCCCTTACCTGGGCAGTAACTTTTATGTAGTCCTTCGTTGCATTTTTATTGAGGTTTAATAAACCCTCTTAAATTTCCCAAGTGAGCAGTTGTTTCTCCCAGGACTGTGAGGCCCCTGGGCCGGGTTTGGGGAGCAGCCCCGTCCCTTGTCCCCGCTGTCCCCGCGGGCTGACGCTGCCCTCTCCCCAGCGCTGATGCACGCCGTCGTGTTCGGCAATGTCACGGCCATCATCCAGCGCATGTACTCCCGCCGCTCGCTCTACCACACCCGCATGAAGGACCTCAAGGACTTCATCCGCGTGCACCACCTGCCCCAGCAGCTCAAGCAGAGGATGCTGGAGTACTTCCAGACCACCTGGTCGGTGAACAACGGCATCGACGCGAACGAGGTAGGAGGTGTTGGTGGGGCTGGGCCAGCCCCGACCTGCCCCTGCGGGACACCAGCAGCGAGATTCCCCGCAGGAAAGCTGCTCCCTGCTCCCTGCCCCGAGCTGTGGCTCCTCTGTCCCCAGCTGCTGCACGACTTCCCCGACGAGCTGCGCGCGGACGTGGCCATGCACCTGAACAAGGACATCCTGCAGCTGCCCGTCTTCGAGACGGCCAGCCGGGGCTGCCTGCGCTCCCTCTCGCTCCACATCAAGACCTCGTTCTGCGCCCCGGGGGAGTACCTGCTGCGCCAGGGTGACGCCTTGCAGGCCAACTACTTCGTGTGCTCCGGCTCCCTCGAGGTGCTGAAGGACAACGTGGTCCTGGCCATCCTGGGTGAGGGCAGGTGGCGTGGGCTGTGCCCCAGCCCTTCCTGCTGCCCGGCAGGGTGAGGGGCTCGTGTCACTAAGCCCACCCCTCCTGCAGGCAAAGGGGATTTGATTGGAGCCGACCTGTGCAGAACGGACCAGGTGATCAAGACCAACGCGGACGTGAAGGCTCTGACCTACTGCGACCTGCAGCACATCGGCCTGCGGGGGCTCTGGGAGGTGCTGCAGCTCTATCCCGAGTACGCCAGCAAGTTCACAGCTGACATCCACCAGGACCTGACCTTCAACCTGCGGGAGGGCAGCGAGATGGAGGTGGGTGCGTGTCCTGCTGCTCAGGCCCCTTCCTGTGCTCACGGCCCTGGGGCTGTGCAGGGCCACGGAAGGGGAGTCTGTGCTCCAAGGCTGGGGCAGGGGCTGCAGCTCTGCCACCCTGGCACGCAGGTAGGTCCTGGCCTGGCTCTGTGCAGCCCGGGGAATTGGCAGAGAGAGCCTTTGCAGTGCAGGAGGATGAGGTGGATGGAAGGCCTGGAAATGGGGTTGGAGAGAGCTGGGGGGGTACTGCAGGACAGACAGCCAGGGCAAAGCTCTCTGGAGTGCAGCACGCAGCTGGGTTTAGTCATGCTGATGGCTCCAGCATCTGGGGGAGATGTTCTGCTGCAGAAATGGCTCTGCTGCACTTCACCTCCCCCAGCCCTGCTGAGAGAGGCTTGGATCTCCTCTGGGGCACCTCCCTGGTACCCAGTTTCCCCCCGAGCCTGATGGAGGTGGTGTGGGAGGTCCCAAACAGCCCTACCAAGACCCATAACACAGGAGGGGCGTACACAAGCCAAGAGAGGAGAATGCCAGGAGCGTGCACCAGGCTCTGCACCTGCATCACCCTCCCACGCCGCCTGCATGCTCCAGACACAGCCGGTGCTCTGATGGCTGAGCCGGGGCAGGGGTTTGGGGGACAGCCCGGGCTCTGCCTCAGGACACTCAGGCCGAGCCTGGGCAGCTCACCACCGACACGGCAGCAGCAAAGGAGAGCGTGTGAGGGGTGGTGGAGGCTGGAATTGGGGCTGATGCGTGGGGCTGGGGCAGGCTTGGCTGCCCAGGGGGGCACTGCGAGGCTGGGGGGCTGTGTGGGTGCTCCCGCTGCTGCTGAGCCCGTCCCGTCTGCTCTCCCCGCAGGGGCTCTGCCGCTACTCCCGGTCCCCGAGGCTGCCACAGGTTCGTCCCTTGCCGCGGCCACGGGGGAGGACGGGGCAGGACGGGGCCGTGCCCGCGGCCAGCCCTGACCTCCTGCCCGCCCGCAGCCTCGTCCGGAGAGCGGCGCGGCCCCGGAGAAACCCCTTCCCTCCATTGTGGAGGATGAGGAGGAGCCCGACGAGGTTTTCCAGCAGTCCCCCGCCGGCAGCTCCCGCCGCAAGGTGCTGCTGCCTGCGCTGGGCAGCTCCGTGCGCCGCGGCTCCCTGAGCAGCCTCCTGGGCGATGAGCCGTGCCAGGGCTCGGCCCTGCGGCACCACCGCCCCTCGCCGTGCCGCAGGGACAGCCGGCCCCAGGAGAGGGATGCTGGCGTGGGCAGGAGGCCGGGCAAGCTGCTCATCCCGTCGCTGCGCTCGAACGGCCCGCCCGACCTCAGCCCCAGGTAGGTGCGCGGGTGGGCGATCCGTGCCAGGCTGGCTGCCAGGGCGGTGCGCAGTGCTGGCACGGGACAAGCCTGACCCCCAGGGTGGGCGATCCGTGCCGGGCTGCCAGGGTGGTGCTCAGTGCCGGCACGGGACAAGCCTGACCCCTCCTGCTCCAGGGTGGTGGATGGCATCGAGGACAACGGAGGGGCTTCGGAGGCTCAGAGCTTCTGCTTCAGCGCGGCGAGGGACTCCCCGAGCGCAGGTAGTGCCAGCAGCCCCCGGGCAGGGCACAGCGCCCGCCGCGGGGCTTGGCACGGCGTCCCAGCGCTGCCTGCCTCCTCCCCAGCAGGAACCGACCCCGGCGGCCCGGCCCTGGCGGTGGAGGCAGAGCAGATAAAGCAGAACATCGGCAGGCTCAACCAGGAGGTGCGCTGGGCAGCAGAGGTCCCCCAAACCCCCGGGGACACCGGCGGGCGCTCACGGCTCTCTGTCCCCCTCCAGATCAACCACCTCAACCGGGAGGTGTCCCACCTCAGCCGGGAGCTGCAGGGCATGATGGAGCTGCTCAAGGCTCACCTGGGCGCCCCGCACCCCCCGGCCTGTCCCTGCCGCCCGCCCGCCCCGGTGCCCGCCTCGCCCCCGGTGCCCCCGGTGCCCCCCAGCTCCCTCAGCTCGCCCAGCGCCAGCCCCCGGCCCAAGCGCTGCCCGGTCCGCAGCCGCTCTGCGCCCTGGCCGGGCTCCGAGGGGCC